TGGAACTTGCCGTTGGCAGTTATTGGCCGGAAAAAAAGAGGGGGGCGGGTGGAAGGAGGGGGAGGGTGGCCTCGGTAAAGGTTGACGGCCATTTTGATTCATCGGACTCGGTCTCCTCTTTCGAATAAATAATGGCCGGGAAAAGGGGTTTTTTCGTACGCGGAGGTACGGTAAGGTGCGCCAAGCTATTTCGGCCAGCCGTAATTCATATTTACGACCAATGGGAGTTACGCCAACTATAAGAGGCTGCATAATGAAACTCGGTCGCAGTAACACCGCTTCTGCTTTTCCAGCCTCTTTAGTTTCATTTTTTTTTATGAAACATCGCATCTACATTTCTCCGTCACGCGATTTTTTTCTATATAATATCTAACACCCTCGTTCGAATCTGTACAGACGGAGAACATCGAAAACAACTCGGCAAATCCCTTCGAGTTCTGGGAATTTATGGGAAGGGCCAATTTTTGATCCCAAGTTCTTTATCGAATCTCGATGCTTTCGAGAACCACCGACTATTCAAAGGGGGAAAAGGGGGAGGGGGGGCTACTTCGGTCCAGCTACGCTTTTATTCCCGCGTTCCAAATTCGACATCTTTCGCTCGCACGGACTTGTTTACGGATTGTTTAGACGGCTCGAACTATTTACACGGAAGATTTATGGATCGGCGTTTCGAATCCGGACGATTTCGCAACCGTTCCGGGTCGTTTCGTCGCTTTTAATGGAACCAGCGGGAGCGATAACTGTTGGGAACGGGGGGGGGGGAAAAAAAAAAAAAAAAAAAAAAAAAATTCTCCTTGCGCGTGGCAAAATGGGAGTAAACTAGCGTTCAGTTCCATTACATAAAACACGATTACGTCGCACTTTTCGCGCAGCTTCGGCCCTTTCCGGTTCATTGAACCCCCTCCCCCTTTTCGTTTAATCCTCTTTGGAAACCGGCATTCACACCACCGGAATAATTTTATTCCAGAAAGCCAACCTTTCTTCCTTTGCTCTTTATTATCGCGCTCCGACAATTTCTACCGTCTATATCGATTAAAAAAGAGAGAAAGAGAGAAAAAAAAACAAAGACGCGTGATATTTATCGCGAAGTCGATCTGTTCCAGCTTAGAGAAAAAGCGTTAACGTTTTAACGAGGGACGTCCAGTTGTAAGTTTTAATTGGTCGTCCTCGATCCTCGTTCGTCGAACGAAAAACAGGCACAGCGCCACGCGTCGTCGATTCGATCTCCGCGTTCCCTCTTCTTCCTTCCTCGCCTCGCCTCGCCTCGCCTCGCTTCGCTTCGCCACGCCTTCCTTCCTTCCTTCCTTCCTTCCTTCCTTCCTTCCTTCCTTGCTTCCCGCAAAGTTGCACGGTGGATCCGACCGTTCGCCGAGAGTCAGAGCTGGAAACATAAAACTTTGGACGACATAACTCACCCATTTCCAGACTATCCCTTCGAGAAATTATTTTCTAGGTGGAGAACACGTTCCGCTCTGGAGAGATGGAGAAGTATTTCTCCGCGCGTGGAGGCAGAGAGAGAGAAAGAGAGGGAGAGAGCTCTTCGAGTCTCGGGGGGATGCGCGAAAAATCCCCCAGAGAAGGCAAGTCTCGGTCTCGATCAAACATTAATCGTGCCTTTCGACGGATAAATTGGCAGCGCCCGTTTTATTCGTCTCGCCCAACCGGTATTTGTCCACGATTCCGATACACCAATACGCTTCTTCTCTCCTTCCCTCCTTCTTCCTTTCTTTCCTCGACTCGCTCGAGTCGAAACAACCAATTCCATCGAATCGTTGCACAAAGAAGCGTTTTTTCGTACGAACTTTCTATCGAACGATCGCACCGACTCGGCTGACGATCTATAAAAATATTCGAGCCAAGCTAAATTACGGATATTCCGGGGGATTTTAGCGAGAGATATTGGGGTGAAAGGTTACCGAGAGCCGATCAGAGAGGGCCACCCTTGTAAACGATTTCGTTAGTTTGGACGCAAAGCGTAGCACCGTGGAGAGGAGCAAAGTAGCGGTTGGATGGTAGCAAATAATCTGATTAACGATCGAATAGGCGAGAGCTTGTTGCGTTCTAACCCGGTAATGGCCTCCCATTATTCGGCCAGTCGCGTCTTCGTCGGGGGATAAGCGAGAGGATAATCACGATCATCCCTCCATTTACTATTCGATCCCGGTAAATTAACGATTTTTAAACAAAATTATAAATGAAAGATATCATTGAAAAATCTTGAAATCCTTCGTTTAAAATTCGAAGAGAATTTAGAGCGGGAAGGAAACGTTTTCGAGCTCGTTCGGGGAAGGAAGTTGGCCCTGGTTAAATTATTATTACAGGAGGTGAGAAACGAAAGAACGACGGCGTTACTTTTAGTCTCCTCGACGGAACGGTTAATTTTCTGGCGCAAAAATTAGTCTGAAAATGGTGTGTGAGGAGAGGGGAAGGGGGAGAGGGGTGGTGTGAAAGTTCGCCTCAAGTTCGAGCGAAATAAGTGCGGCTAAAGAACAGCGTTGAAAAGTTAGCGCGGCAAACGAGGCTGTGGAACACACAGGATGGAAAACGAGTTGGTTGTAGCACAGGTTGGTTACGTGTGTTTGTCCAAGGTACACGTATACGACGACAACGACGACACGACGATGGCGAAGGACAAGCTGGGCTCTGGGGAATTAAAAAATTTTTAATTGCAACGGTGAGCCAACGACGTCGACCGAGGTGCAAAGCGGTTGCTAATTATCGTCTAAGAAATTACAAGGACATTAAAGGGACGAGCCTCCGATAGGCGGAGATTTTAGGTTCAAGATATTTTTATTTCTCCCGTTACAACATCCACTGTGAACTCTATCGAAAAGATAGATTTCTATTTTTTCGACAATTTTTTCGCACACGCATAATCTTTCTACGGTTCGATTTGTTGATTCAAAATTCTTAGAAGATGAAATGTTAAGCAAAGGCGAAGCCAAGGCTTGTGAAGCGGTCAGGTTTTTATTTTCAATGGCTTGAGTATCTTCGATAATCTGACAATAATTTATACTATAAATTACTAAACAATTATAATATTAACAATTAATAATTATAATATTATTATTTAAATTTGTGGCAGATCCTATATTATCGACTAATGAATTTATTAAATGTAGAGAAAATTACATACGAAAATTTTGTACAATTTTCTGTTTACATATATATTAAAATATATATAAAAAAATTTACACAATAATTTACCTTCTCCAAAAAAATAACATTTTGTCTCATAATAAGCTACTGATTTTAGAAAATTTGTATACATAATCTCTTAATTAGTTAGAATTGTTATAAGTATCCGTGAAAATATTTTTATTAAATATTCGATGTGCATAATTGACTGCACAGATGCTTATGGATCATTTCACAAAAATCCTACAAGAATTAGGAATATCTAAAATAGATATATATATCGTTATATCGTTTTTACTTGGAAAACTTCGTTCCAAATCACATTATCAAAATGTATATGTATAATATCAAGTTGCCATTTTATTGTTTCTTTTTCTTAATATTTATCGAATATAATCGAATATTCTACGGCAGATAAATAAATTTGAATATTTAATAATTTGATTTTCACTCAAATTTTTCTTTAATGCTCTTTAATCATACTATCTATTATCTAGATAGACATATATAAATCTATGGATCATTTTTACCATTTCAAAATTCATACAAAATTTTTCCAGATCCTAAATTTCCAAACGAAGATAGCAGCAATGACCATTTGCGACGTCCTCCAACTCTACTATTGATTCCTCTCAGTTTGCATTTTCACGAAAAATAAGGATGGAGGAAAAACCAAAGCCTGCAATAATTTTCTAGATCAGATCAGTTAGAACAGAAGTGGAATACAGATTAGACACAATTCACATCATTATAGTCATCGATCAAACGGTTAAAGTAAATCACCATATCGTTTACTCGAAGCTCATAATATTGGCTTGTTCATGCGATCATGAACAGTTGAATTCGACGACTTCAATCTCGTAGCAATTTCTCGAGTTGTTATTCGTAGGTTTGCTTCGATCGATGCCTTTATTTTGTTTTTATCGGTTTCGATCAATCTTCCAGAACGTGGCACATCTTTAACGTCGAAATCGTCGGAACGAAATTTCGAAAATAAATTTTGACACTGGCATACCGTTGATACACTTTCTCCATAGACTTCGCGTAATTTTTTTCTTGCCTAAGAACGGCATTCTTAACCTTTTCGGCAATAAAAAAGTAAAATACGTCGAAAATGCTCTTTTTTGGTCTCGTATCTTTATTATCGCGCATGGAAAACCGCACAGAATCAAACGAATTTTTCTTATAAATAAACCGTGAAATGCCAACGATCAAAATATATAACACGGTTTAGAATGAAGTTGGCTGTAGATAAACGTTCGACTAGCGACGCTCGTGTGAAAAAATGAAATTATTTTCCGAACAATCCAATAGAAACATCCTATAGGCAGTAGCTGGTCTTTCGAGTATAAGAGCATCACGTCTGTGTTACATATTCAAAGTCAGTTTAGACTTTAACATAGAGATATTGCCCCGTTTTTTTTGCGTCACTTTTAAATAAAAATTCTTCGCACGTTCTTTCACGTATCTTATACACAATCGACGCGATCCTCGATTTCCTGGCTCGTAACGAATCCGAATTTCGAACAATTGAAATTAATTTTCGCTTTATATTTCGCGATTCGATCATTTCCACACAATTCGAAAAAGCAACGCTATTTTCGTTCGAATTAATTAGCCGTTGAATTCCAGCTCTCTCTATTATTGGTCGTCGTTATCCTTTAGGAAATTGTTCATCTCTCTTGACGATGAAATCTTCTTGAAACAATGAAACGATCGGTACGTAAGATCGTCGAAGGACAAAATGGGACGAGGTTGGAACATCGTTTCGGTTATAAGCTTAATTGGCAACGTGTGTCCCGACGGTTATCTCTTTGGTCGGATTACGCGTGTCCGGTATGACATTTCGGCGCAGTATGAATTAATTTCACCGACAAATATTTGAGATGCAAAGGAATTAATATCCCGCGCCACTGTTTATTAATTACGATCTTCAATATTAGTCCGATCCAAATACGAGCCGCCACTCGTCACTATTCACTACAAAATAGTTCACTTTAGGCAATTACCACGCGCCACGATTAATCGCCTTCGAGCGATTATACAATCTCCTTCTCTTCCCCTTCCCCTCATTCCTTAAAAAACTATCTCGATTACACCTCGATCCGTTTATCCAATGAATTACTTTTTTTTAACGCGGTTTGTGCATACGTGACTGTGTGCAACGAAGGAGGGGGAGGAGGAGGGGGAGGCTTTTTAATCCTGGGCAGGGCGCTCGCGTCGTGTCGTGGCACGGTTAACAAGCGTCATAATTCACCGGAGGAATTTTCCCGCGTAAATAATAGTCCCCTTTAAACCTTCTCTTCCCCTTGTTTATAAAAAAAACTGTTCTGCATACATTACGGCCAGGATATTATTATTCCTGTTTGTTTTCTTTCCTTTCCTTTCCTTTTTTTTCATTCGCGAATTTTAAAAAAGGGAAAATAAAAAGAGTAGAAGAGGAAGGAAACGCGTCCGTACGCGGAGTAATAAAATTGAAATTTATACTTTCCGTTCGTTTTCGTTTCTNTTTGCGCGATGCACCGCCACAACAACCGTTTACGCTCCACCCACCGCGAGCGCCCGTGTTTTTGACACGAATTTAATTATTTTTATCGCGACCAGACAGAATTTAAGTGGTCTCTACAGATCTCGCGCAGCCGGTCCAAAGCCGGCGC